AAGATACTGCGCTCAGGCAGAACAAGAACTTAAAGAAAAACAAGGAAGAACGCTATAGTCGAGTACCTCGACCATCAGATACCCGTTACTCAGCTTAAGGGAACAAAGGGAAATGGAGATATGCAAGCGGTAGACAGATTCAAGCGTTATGGGCGTTAGAGTGGGCGTGGCAATTTGTATACAAGTTACTCGTAGAGTAAAAGGGTATACTAGATTCGTCGGAAAGTATGTAACAGGCAGAAGGAAGCGTTTTCGACTCCATAAAATATATATATTCTTGAGCAGGATCACTAGCCGAGTCGATCTAACCATGTCCGTCTGTCCGTATGAGCGCTGAGAACTCGGAAACTATAAGAGCTACGCTATTGGGATTTGGCATGCAGATTCCTGAGATTCCCGTGTAGCGCAAGTTTGTTTCAGCAGCGTGCCACGACAAGCCGCGCAAAACTGTGGCTCCTACAGTTTTGATGCTAGAGTAAAAATTGTAACTGAAATTAATTGTTCTCATCTATACCTAGCGGTTGACCCAAAAAAAAGTTTGCCACGCCCACTATTACGCCCCGTTCCCCGGGTCCACGATAATTGTCTCCTGTTGAACGGTAAAATGAATTTTTAATAGGAAATTTTTTCCTGAAGACAGTATTTTAATTTTGTTTCAAATTTGGCGAAATGCCGATGTTTATATACCCTTGCAGGTTGTTCCTATGGGAGCAATGTATTTTACGAATTACCAATTTTTACTAAACTAAAAAAATAACTACAAAAATATGAAAATACTGGTTCCATATGAAATTTCTATCGTAAATGTTTTACCATTAACAAATTGTAACGGTTTTTGTATTTTTAAAGACATCTTAACAAGGTAAGAATTGTGACGACCGCACCATCAACATACAAAAGTTCTGATATCAGCTTTCGTGATAAAAAATGGATTTTGATATCTAAAATTATAGTCATTTGTTAGCAAAAAATATTGATTAATTCATCCACCTTGGCAGCTTCTATAGATTCACAAGGAAAAGTTATATAGTATGTTGGCCATCCATTGTAATGCGAGATTTTAAAGAATCACTGTCCATCGAGGATATTTAACTCGAGGTTGTGGGCTGGACAGCTATAAAAAAATTAGATTTTTGTCGAATTTTTATAAATATTTTTTTTACAACGTATGGAAAGTTCATATATTTTTTATGGAACAACACTTAAAGTCGTATAAAGCCTACTTTGTTTAAAAATTCAGTTACAAGATAGCCATTTCCGCGGGACAACATTAGTACCTGAATTCTTAGGAATTCGCGGTCCTTCGAGGTAAATTTTTTCTCGTTTTCTGAGACTCATTCCCTGTTCTAGACTTTTACCACTTTTTACTTGCCATAAAATAGATTTCTTTACAAATTTTAAAGGTTATTACTTTTTTCGTGTCAATCCTCACGCTGAGAGAGGACTCATTAGATAGAATAACCATAGTAAAAGATCTTTATTAGACCCAAGTCAAAAATTTGCTGATCACATTTAGTCTATAATGAATAAAGAGGGGTGCGCTTGGTCAAAGGAAGACTATGATCCTTAAGACATTATATATTTCGCTTGTCCACCCGAATTCATGTTAATCGTATCATTCTGTACAGAAAAACTTTTTGCTGTTTGCGTTAAGGCGCTTAAACTGGGATGCAACCCTCATTTTACCCATTTGTTCTAATAGATTACTCCTAAATAACTTACCCTCACTAGCCAAGCGCAGAACGATGCTTAGAACAGTCTTTATTTATATCCTTGTTCGAGCAAAATTTATAGCCCCGACTTGGTTAGCCAACTAAACTTTTCTGTTCCATGCAGATTAACAAGAACGTACATTTCTCTAATTTTAAATCATTTTAGATCTAACTATGACTTGCATGAACCTTTCTGATATTCTGACTGTAGTAGACTTTATCTTATTATCTCACTACCTGAATCTCTGCCTCTCTTAAAGCGATTAATATTACATTATCTACCACAGGTTTCAGCGCAAACCATGTTCATTGAAATAGCAGTGCTTATAAAATTGAAAAACTTTAATACAAACACAACATAGGGACAAAATTGACATACAACCGTTTTAATTATTTGTTTTTAAATAACTTAACTGTTTTTTCCTGTTGGGTACTTTAATATTTTAGCAAATATGGATAATAACAAAAAATAAAGACTTAGTTATGGTGTTCATTGAATTGGCAGTCTTAAAAGAAAAATATGATAAAATTCACTATGGCTCATAAATAACTTAGTCCTACTAAATATAGACTTGATTACGACCAAATATTTTGCTGTATACCCTTTATTGGCTATTACAGGCTAACACCTACGTGGCATGGAGTCCACCAAGTCCTTGCAACGTTTGCGGGAAATCTGACCCCATCCCTCCTGCACAACTTGCCAAAGCTGTGGCTTAGAAGTCGGGGATTTCTTGGCAACATAACGCTTATGTCCCTCGATAAGTTCTCAATCGAATTTAAATCCAGGGACTGTGCTGGACACGGCATTACGACAATTTGTTTTTGGCTAAACCCTTCCTTGGCCCATTTGTTGGTGTGTTTAGAATCATTGATATGATGATCATCCATATTAAAGAAATTTCATCATCATCATACGGCAGAATGACGTTTCTCAGTATATTTACGTTAACATGTTGGTCCATGATCTCATCGATCAAACGTATGGGGCCCACACCGCTCTATGAGAAATTTGCCCATACCATGATTTTAAGGCCATCTGCTTAACGGTCTTGAGATTTTATTTTGGGTGGTACCCGGTGTTTGGTGGTCGACGGACATACTATTTTGAACCTGTTCCACCAAAAAACACCAGCTAAGACTCATCTGTCCAAAGGATATATCGACCTTTTAAAAGTGGCTAGTTCAAGTGCCTTTGGCAAACTTCAACCTGTCTTTGGGGTGTCTTTTAACAAGTAATGGCTCCTTTCGTGGACTTCTAGCATTCAAATTTTCATCGAACAGACTTCGGAGAATAGTGCCATCCCTGATTCCCAAGCTCAGATCCGCTTTTATAGTCCTACAGGATGCAAAAGGATAAGTTTTGCTGAAGCGCACTTTGCGAACGTCCTCTATAATTGTGGTTTTCCGTACCGCATAACATCTTCGGGCTTCGGTTCATAATTCATGGCATTGTAAACCATATTGGCTGGACATTTTAAGAGACACTAAATACATATAGATACGTTTTGCCCTCCTTACTTAGCTCAATCATTTTTTCCTTTCTCCCTTGAAGCAATGAGGACCTCTGCCGACTAAAGTTAATTTTTTTCCATAGTTATAGCGTATTATCGTTCAATTTATAATAATGGTCTCTAATAAACCCAATTTTCACCAAGTTACAAAAATTTCCGGGACGAAAGTCAAAAACTGCTATTTCAGTGAACAGCAAAAATATTGCGCCCGTGTGCAAAAATATTGAAATAACCCAAAAACGGACCAAATCTAATGGGGCTTTTGCTTGTTTTGTATCCCTATGATCCATTCTTCAAAAAAAATGTACCAACCTATATATAATTTCGCTTCTGTCGCACTGCTATTTTTATGAACACAGCTGTATGTACAGGGACGAAAAGTGACGAAGTATTGGCACACTTAGTATCTTGAACTTTAAGTGCGCTTTTCTACCTTTATAAATGTGTTATAAAATTCAACAAAATTATTTTGGATAATGGGAATACTTAACAATCAAATTAATTATGTTTCATTAAATGATCTCTTTAAACAAAATTTTTTAAATTAAAATACAAAAAATAAGCACAGAGATAAAGGTATTTATTATACCCGTTACTCGTAGAGTAAAAGGGTATACTAGATTCGCCTGTATGTAACAGGCAGAAGGAAGCGTTTCTTGATCAGGATCACTAGCCGAGTCGATCTAGCCATGTCCGTCTGTCCGGATGAACGCTGAGATCTCGGAAACTATGAGAGCTAGGCTATTGAGATTTGGCGTGCAGATTCCTGAGCTTCTTAAGCAGCGCAAGTTTGTTTCAGCACAGTGCCACGCCCACTCTAACGCCCACAAACCGCCCAAAACTGTGGCTCCTACAGTTTTGATGCTAGAATACAAATTTTAACTGAAATGTAATGTTCTCATCAATACCTATCGATTGACCTAAAAAAAAGTTTGCCACGCCCACTTTAACGCCCACAAACCGCAAAAACCTGTGACGCCCACAATTTTCATGCTAGATACAAATTTTTAACTGAAATGTATTGGTCTCGTCGATACCTATCGATTGATCCAAAAAAAAATTTGCCACGCCCACTCTAACGCCCATAACGCTTAAATCTGTATACCGCCGGTAGGTGGCGCATTTTAATCTCGCTTTGCTGCTTGCATATCTCCATTTAGCTGAGTAACGGGTATCTGATAGTCGAGGCACTCGACTATAGCGTTCTTCCTTGCTTTTTTTATTTTTATATATAAGCACTTTTAATGTAATTTAAGGTAGTAAATCCATTTTACGATACTAATTTAGCGTTATACCACTTAAGATATAGAGAAATAGCTGATTTGGCAAAAAAAAAGCAAACCAAGTGTGCCAAGACTTTTGTGCAGCTAAGACTGCGCATATTTTGGTTTCTTAATTTTTAAAATTTAGTTTTAAGAGATAATTCAATGAAACAAAATTAATTATCCAAAATAATTGTGTAGAATTTTATAACACATTTATAAAGGTAGAAAAGCGCACCTAAAGTTCAAGATACTAAGTGTGCCAACACTTCGTCACTGTTCGTCCCTGTACATACAGTATATTTCTCATTAACTATATGAGTGTCCTGAAATGGATTACAAAGTTAAGAATGAAGAAGGTTTATTGAGTCTATATTATGTATAACCCAGAGCGTGGAAAACGTGAAAATTTGATCGCTTTGCTGGAAAACTTAAAAACTTACAGTGCGTTTTCCTCGAAATTTTATTGTCTTGTGGTAGATTACTACAGTAATTTTTAAACGAATACTTACGAGATAGTTTATTTCAGAACCAAAACCGTTAAGTTTTTTTTTTATTAAATTTTTTCTCAAAATTAATTTGTATTGAGGAAACAAAACTCGACAGAATTTATTCCTTCTAGGAGCACATTTGCAAATATGTAATATTAACTGCTATCGATTAACATTATGGCTATGGTACATATTAGGGCACGCTCATCTGAATAAAAGAACCAGGCGAAAAGCGTTAGCCGCGTATATAAACAAACCAAGAGTCCGGATGCTTGGTTCACGCTATAAGACTTCTAATCCAAAACAAACTTCTTTGTTACAAAAACAGTTTCAATTTTTACCAACATCATTCTGCTTGCAAATTTTTTCCGCTAGGAACAAACTAACAATAATTTGATATTTTTCGTACATTAATGATTTTTATACCCGTTACTCGTAGAGTAAAAGGGTATACTAGATTCGTCGGAAAGTATGTAACAGGCAGAAGGAAGCGTTTCCGACCCCACAAAGTATATATATTCTTGATCAGGATCACTAGCCGAGTCGATCTAGCCATGTCCGTCTGTCCGTCTGTCCGTCTGTCCGTCTGTCTGTCCGTCCGGATGAACGCTGAGATCTCGGAAACTATGGGAGCTAGGCTATTGAGATTTGGCGTGCAGACTCCTGAGCTTCTTACGCAGCGCAAGTTTGTTTCGGCACAGTGCCACGCCCACTCTAACGCCCACAAACCGCCCAAAACTGTGGCTCCTACAGTTTTGATGCTAGAATAAAAATTTTAACTGAAATGTATTGTTCTCATCAATACCTATCGATTGACCCAAAAAAAAGTTTGCCACGCCCACTTTAACGCCCACAAACCGCGAAAACCTGTGACGCCCACAATTTTCATGCTAGATAAAAAATTTTAACTGAAATGTATTGGTCTCGTCGATACCTATCGATTGATCCAAAAAAAAATTTGCCACGCCCACTCTAACGCCCATAACGCTTAAATCTGTATACCGCCGGTAGGTGGCGCATTTTAATCTCGCTTTGCTGCTTGCATATCTCCATATAGCTGAGTAACGGGTATCTGATAGTCGAGGTTCTCGACTATAGCGTTCTTCCTTGTTTTTTATAATTTTACCGGCATTGGTTTGATTACATTATTGTGGTGAAAGTTCCACTTCTCCCTGTCAAGAGGAGGAATTTACAGTTACACCCAAAAATATCTTCTAACTGTCGCATATAAGAGTCCGTCAAATTCGGATGGCGGACTAACGGGAAATTTTTGGAGAGGAAAACCTTAAGCCTTGTACTCAGTTCGGCTAAGGGTTTCACTAGTCAAAAAATCTTATTCTTTGTCGTGTGACCGAAGTTTTCAAAGTTCACCCGCGATGCTTGAGGCACGGTCTTACTGTCAAGCAGCTGGGTTTGTTGTCCAACGGAAAACAAATCAATTGGAACAATTAAAAAAATAATAGTTCTGGTGAAAGAAATTAAAATACAAATAAAAGGAATGTTTAACGAATGTTTTTATTTATGTAAATTAGTATCTTAAAGCTTTCTTCTCGTCCCACGGATGCTTCGACATCTTCCCCGCGCCATCTGTATTGCCGCTCCGAGTCCCAATAGTCATATTGGACCTTGAGGAAGTGGGAGCCGAATCGAGAACGAGGGTTGATTCGCTTGATGCGGCAGGAAGTCCCCCAGCATCCTGGCATTGGCTGGTAATGGCTCCTCTAGCTGTCCCTTAGCGGGCGACCCTAGATTCTCCTCCCTATAGAAGTCGGCGCGTCCTCCATCTCCGCTTAAGCTGTCAAGTAGCTGGTGGAAGTTTAGTCCTGTGGTTCCCCAATGGCGGGGTCGTCGGAGGTCGTATTAATGGTGATTCTGCTAAAAAGATACCGGCATTAGTACAACGTAACCAAATTCTTGTGGCCAGAACTTAGTAACTTTGCGAGGACACTCCCGATAGAATGGCTACGTAGGGCGCCAAGTCCCACTGGAATGCTCTAGTTGATCTCGTCCAGCACTTCATATATTCTGCGAATTTGCCTAGTTGTGGTATTGGTTCCTGTCGGTGAAGTCTCACAATAATGGGCAACAGCTTGGATTATACATCTTTTTTGATGTGTAATGATATCCTGCAAGCGTTTTCGGGGTTTTCCTACCATTTTAATTTTTTTTGTTTCCACACCGCTTCTCTACGAACACCGCCAAAGATTACATTTCTTATTCTTTGAGTCGCGGCCAACCGCGTTCATCGAAATTCACTCGCTTAACCTGGTATTTTTTCTGGTATTTCCTTAGCTCATCTGAGTACCGCCCTGAAAAACAGAACCAACGAAAGTCGTTAGCCGCGTAATTGGCTTTCGCTCACTCCTATGGTTAGCTCGCGTTTTTCGTCGATGTGAGTACTAGGCGTTATGGACAATCCGTTGAATGAATGGGGGATGGTGGGGAGAGGTTAGGGATGGATTAAAACAAAATATACTGTGTATTCCCGCAATTGCTTAATTAAAACATTGTTGATTTTTCAACAACAAATTTTAGCATTAGAGATGACGACCCTAAATGATGAATTAAAACAGCTGTGACTAGTTTTAAACCTATTCGGAACTAAAATCAGTTTGATTTTTTATTATTAGTAACTGTCTAATTCAAATAAAGATTTATAAAAGAAAATAGGTAAGATATAGAGATTATCAGCTATTTGACAGCTAAAGCGGTGATGTGGGACACGCTTGCTTCAATAGGGAGGAGGAAAATAGGGCACCCGTTATGGTACAGCTGAAGGAGCCATTGCCAGCATGCTGGGCGACTTCCTGCAGCATCAGACGGAACAACCCCCATACTTCACTTTCTTAAGGTCCAATATGTCTACTGGGATTCGGAGCTGGACTAAAGATGGCGAAGCATCCGTGGGACGAGGAGGAAGTTTTACACTACTAATTTAAATAAATAAAAACATTCGTTGAACATACTATTTATATTTATTTTCATTTCTTTGTGCACCAGCAGACTCTGCTTTTTAAGTTAGTCCAATTGATTGGTTTTCCGTTTGGCAACAAACCCACAAAGAAAAAGATTTTTTGACTAGTGAAACTCTTAACCGATCTGAGTACTAGGCTTATGGAACTTTTTTTTCCATTCTAACTAATTAATAAAGGTATCCCTAAAGAAAAGGCAAACAGCTCCTGCAGCAACAACGCCTCGACATACAAATAAAAAAAAATCCGAAAGTTGAAAATAAGTCGAAGACGCGAGCTAGGTATGAATTCGGAAAATGAGGGACCCCAAAGTTCCATTTGTTTTTTTTTTTTTTTGCCTTTCCACTGTTATAAATGTTAACAAAGTGGTTTTAAAATGCGATGCTCATAATATTAAGGCATACAAACAAATAACTGCATAACATTTGTTTGAAAATTAAGCCTGCTACACCAAGTCATTTCCTCCACATCTATCTGCCTCGAACTCTGGCATATGAAAATAGTCAAGCCGTTCAAAATTAAAGCATACAAACAAAATACCACATGTACTAATTAAAAACCTATTTTAAATAAACGTCTAATTGAACAAAAAAATGTGCGAATAAGTCTAATCGAGGTGGAAAACTAATGAAAAAAGAAATAATGAAAACAAGATAAGCGTGCGTCTGTGTGTGTATATTTGCACTCTTAGCTGACGGGGAACATGAGAGTCGTTTAAATAAAAATTCTTTATAATACCCACTGATATCCTTTTGATAAAAAATTTCATTTGCAAATCTTAAACAGCTTTAGCACATATCTTTCAAAGCCAAAACTATTACAAACCAATATATTATTTTACAAACTAATTTTGTCATTCTCAAGTTTAATTATAGCAAATAGATTCACGGCTTTCCCTCACACATTTCCGGTACATTATTATTTATAAAATAAATATATATTAATACCCCCTTCCGTTCGAAACGGTTGGAATTTTTGACAATTGTGAAGCTACGTTTCCCACAGAGCACATCCACCATCTACCATCCGATAACAGCTGATCTGGCTCGTTCAACCCAGCCTGTTGCTTCTGCCCCTTCCACTTTCGATTGTTCCCTGTCTTCATTGTTTACGTTTTCGTAATAAATGTTTCAATTTTAACTGTCAAGAAGAAGACCTCAGAGTTGCACCAAACAAACATCGCCTTCCTATCGCATAAAAGAGTCCGTTAACTTAGGATGAGGAACTAACTGGGAAATGTTCGGAACGGCAAAAATGGTGGAAGGATATCTTTGGGACCACCAGTGAGACAATCCGAAAATATCGTTTATTGGAAATTCTTCCAGAAATTGTACAATTAAGATATTAGGAGATAAGAGTTCAATAAAATGTTTTATCCATTTATTTGTAGTCACTCAATTTGCACGTCCTCTTCTTCGGGCACGGTTTGCTTATGCCGAACAGCTGTTCGCTATAGCGAACCCTATTTAAACAAGAATACGCTCAAATGTGAAAAAGCCATTTAAAGGTGTGCGCAGAGGCTATGCGCAAGGTACGTTCATAAAACAAATCGTTTTTATAATTAATACCCTCTGCACACTGCATCAATTGCATATGCAGATCAAGTAATCTCTATATGAACAAGAATCCCCTTGAAAGTGGAACAGCAATCTTAAGCGGCTGTGTACATAACGTATGAGACAAACGGTGCGCGAGGTATGTTCATTAGGGCGGTCCAAAAAATGAAATCTTGTTCTCACCCCATCATATGGTTGATCAAAGTGTACAACACATGTCTTCAAAAACTACAATTTTTTGGTTGGGTGTTAGACCTTGCTATACGTCCTCAAAATTTCTTTTAAAATTACTCAAACGACATGTATACCAGCCATAACCTTTTTTAAAGAGATCGATATCCTTTCCCCTACATTGTCAACACTAATATCTCAGACAATTTGATTTAAAAAAAATTTACGACAAATACCGAAATGTTTTTGGAGGGAAAACTAAACTCAGAATTATACACAACGGACTTTCGATTCAACTCAGGGCCACCTACATATATAAAAAAAATATTTTGATCAGCCCCAATAGTGCGTATGAGTTTTAAGCTTTGAAACCGATTCGCAGACCCTATGAACCGTTTTTGAAAAACTTTCGTTTGGTATACCATAAGTTGCTCAATGCGCACCTTATAGGCGGATAAAAGTGGGACCTTAAAAATTTGCATACCAATGCGGATCGCTCTAATGTTCATAAATAAGAAACGCGTTTCCTGTTCACATAGAGATTCGCTGAAACGAACAGCTGCTCGGCATTAGCAAATCGTACCCGA